GGGAATTTATTTGTGTTGTGTTTTTGGTGCTTACTCTTCTATAATCTCTCACATGGCCATCACATTATTTGCTTGCTTGTTGTATGTTTAGTTCAAAAAACTGAATCATATCGAAAACAATATCAGAAACAAACACTCCATCCTTAGAAAACAACTTTCATCACTAAGCTTATTTTCTTCTGGCCTCTTCAGGAAGGGAAAAAGATATGTCTGGAATCTAGATAGATATGTCTGGAAATTTATAAAGGAGCTAATGTTTTGGAAATTGTGCTTCTGTCTAGTTTAGGAAGGATGTATTCTCAAGCAGCATGTTAAATTCACTTTTAAGCTAGTTTAATCCTGGATGGTTGTATCGCATGACATTTAACTTATCAGTTTTGCAGAACTATATCCATCAAAGAATTTCAAGCATCTGATATGCGACCTCTTAATGTATTAGAAGATACTTTAAATTATCTATTGGGCTTGCTGGATTCTAAGGAGCATCTGTTCGAAGTAGTTCATGACTTCATCTTTGATAGGACAAGGTCTATACGTCAAGATCTTACTATGAAAAGTATTATAAACAAGAGAGCTATTTTTATGTATGAGGGAATGGTATAATTTTTTGTCAAATGTCTTTGATTCATATGTTTTCTTCTTTTCATCATCTATCAATTCAACTTTTCTCTTACAACTGTGTTAGGGTACATGATTGAAGTTTCACTTCTGATGCTTGATTTGCAAATACCAGTTTTGAAGTAAATTTTGAGGTTTATTTATCTGATCCGTACATTTTATTTAACACACTAGATGAATATCTATAAAGAAACTGGTCTTTCCAAATACAAGTCCTACGCTGGGCTAGGGGTATTAACACCAAGAGTATATTTTGATTCAGCTTCACAGTCAAGGGCTTAACAGAGAATAGCATAAAATGCAAAAATAACATTATCTCAACTCAACACTTTCAATGCTAATTCCACAATCAAAATCCAAACAACTATAACCTGTTCAGTAAGTCCAATGAAAAATGCAATACAACAGAATAAAATCACAAGAGTGTTCTACGAAAGATAATATTTGTCATAGAGAAATGAATGATCATTTTATCACCAACACGCAAAGTCGCAACAACAGTTCAAATTCAATTGCAAAAGTTCACATAGAACAAAAGAAAAAGTGAAGTAAAATTTAACCTAAATAAAGAAACGCAGAAAAGCAAAACGGTTGAGAATGAAATAAACAACAAAAAATAGAGAAAGAAAGAAAAGAGAATACCCTATCAACGAAGCGAGCGTCAAAATCAGCAGAATGAGAACCATTGAGTTTGCCTTCAAGTTCACATTGAATCTTGAGATGTTTAGAAGTAGAGTTGGAGATGGTGGTAACGAATCCGAACGAAGCGAGTTGGAGAAGAAGATGAACCACGTCCACGGTGAGGAGGGAGGAGACGAGTTAGACGAAGATGAACAGTTGCGTGTATAAAGTGGGGTTTTGTATAAAGTGGGTTTTCTGATAACCAATTTAGGGATTTAGAAATTTTTTAATTACCTTAGACAGCGCTTTCAAGAAGCGCTGCTAAAGGTATTACCTTTAGCAGCGCTTTAGTGTAATGCCTTTAGCAGCGCTTCTTGAAAGCGCTGTCTAAGGTATACCTTTTATCACACCTTTAGTAGCGCTTTTGGTAAGCGTTGTCTAAGGTATACCCTTTAGCAGCGCTTATTCTTATTTTTTTTTATTTTTTTTTATTGAAAACCTATAGCAGCACTTAGGGAAAGGAAGCGATGGCTATGATAAAGCCTTTAGCAGCGCTTTTAGTAAGCATTGTCTAAGGTATACCCTTTAGCAACGCTTATTCTTATTTTTTTATTTTTTTTATTGAAAACCTATAGCAGCGCTTAGGGAAAGGAAGCGCTGTCTATGGTAAGGCCTTTAGCAGCGCTTTTAGTAAGCGCTGTCTAAGGTATACCTTTAGCAGCACTTACTCTAATTTTTTAAATTTTAAAAAAAAAAACCTATAGCAGCGCTTATGGCATAAGCGTTGTCTATGTGGCGCTGTCTAAATTCAATTTTGGCATAATGATTTCAATTATTGTACATTTAAATATTGCATATACATTCGATTTGGTTGTAATAACTTAGAATTTAATTTCTTGTCAAATACCCCCAATTCAAATTTGTACCCCCCTCCCTATATCATGTTGTAATAGTGTAGCATTTAAATTCTCGCACATTTAAAAGCTTCCAATTATGCCATGCTTAGACTTAGGGTTTGTATGCAAATAAAATCAATAACTAGCTTGACCTAATCCAAGATAAATATGCATGAAAAACAAACACAATGCACACTTGCACCCCTAGGGTTACAATCCACTTGTTGCCTTAAAAAATGGGCCATGGTTGCATGTCAAGTACTTTGGCAAAACAAAAAACAAACAAAATGATCAAGTCCCTTAAGAAAAATTGCCAAAGATACTTGACACCATTGCTATCATGGTCTATACGATGACCCGCGCCTGTCCCGTTAACATCCTAACACAAGGTTGTTCACCAAATACAATGGTGAAACAACATTGTTAAAAGGGTTAAAAACATAAGAAAGATCTTTGAGTAAAATAGGGTAGATAGCTCCTAGTTACTTGATCAAGCTTGCAAAAAAAAACCCTTGCTATTTTCAAAACACACTTCACCGCACAATTTCAAAACCCTACTTTCAAACATTGAAAACTTTTCAAAAGACAAAAACACCTTTGTATACATTCAAACAAGAATCATTACAAAGGTTGCCACAACGATGGCCTCTTTTCAAAATATCTTTCAAAACCACACACAAAGCACCATTTCAAACAATTGAAAAGCAAAGCAAGTGATCTAAAGCAAGTAACTAAGAGCCCATGGATAACCATGGATAGAAAGGGTGTTAATACCTTCCCTTTCTGTAATCTACTCCTCGAACTCAAGAAAACATCTCAAAAGGTCTTTCCTGTGCTTTTTGACCTTTCCTTAGGATAAAATAAAATTCGGTGGAGACTCTTGCTAAACCGAAACATTTGCAAACACCAACGCAAAATCCCAAGTCAGTTCTCCCACCGTATCACAATCATCTTCAGTCAAAACCCTAATTTTGGTAATTTTTGACCTTTGATGATTTGAGGGATTTCCTTGAGGAATCATGGTAAACCTTGATCAAATGATGAATATCACCTCAAAATGTTGATGTTGACAAAAAATCTTGAAGTTTGACTATATGTTTGACCACAATTGACTTTTTACCCAATACAGCTGATTTTCGATCATCTGAGCCAATGACTAGGCAAATTTGTGATGCAAGGATTGAAACTTGAAATGAGCATTGTTGAGGACCTATGATGAACCATGAAATGCATTTGAGAAATTTGCAAACCAATCTTCTCTGAGAAGCACCAAACCCTAATTGAAGACCCCTGTTTAGGAGGTGAGTTTGTCTGATCAACTCTTGAGAATCCTTGAGTATTTGAAAATCTTAGGAGAATGCTTTGAAGAAGATGGGAGGGAAATTTTTTGGGTACAACACTATTGATACCTCACACCTTAGGAACACTGATAAGTGTGAGATACTTTGGAAAATCAAGGCCCCTTTGAGGGTTAAAAATTTCCTTTAGCGATTATGTATGAATTACGTGCATGTCAAATTGCGCTTAATAGATAAAGACATCCAATGTTTTTTGCTTTGCGGTATTTGCGCCAAAAGTGTGGAAGATGTTAAAAAAATTATTTCTACATTGCCCAAAGAGTATCAAAAGTTGGGAAAAGTGGGTTTGTGGTTCATATTGCAGCAGTGATGAATGCTAACTCCTCTTTTGCTACAATAACATTTTATTTTTTCCAGGTTGCAAATCAAGATCAACAAGCAGTGTTCTCGAACCAGATAGAAGACTATGCAGATACTATTTGTACTCGAGCTACTCATTTGTTAACATGTTGAAGGAATGCACACAACATACGAGCAAGCAATTACAATCAATCCATAATGCCTATGGAAGTCAAATGGAGCAAAATGTCGATTGGTCGTCTCAAATGCAACATCGATGCTACCTTTGCTAATAACAAGGTAGGAATATGATCTTGCATTTGAGATGACGAGGGTTGGTTTATTGCAGCTCGGAGAAAGTGGTTTTCTCATATTACTGATGTAGATGTAGGGAAAGCCCTAGGCCTACTGACATCCATTAAATAGGTTCATAAGCTCGGGTTCGACTCGCTAGATTTTAAGATGGATGCTAAAAGTGTTGTGGATAATGTGAGACATCATCAACCAAATGAATCATATTTGGGTGCTATTACACTTGAATGTAATCGCTTATTAGTTATTTTCTTTAGGAACTCTCATGTTAAATTTGTTAGGAGAAAAGTTAATGAGATTGCTCATACTTTGACACAGATGACTCTATCTCTTATTAGTTTTCACAATTTTAACGATATACAAACATATATTCAGAATATTATTACTAGAATGATTCAAAAGATATAGCTAAAAAAGCTAGATGTGAATAGAAAAATCAATAATTTTTTTTTAAATATTATAATTAAAAAGATGTAAGTGTTTAATACAGTTTGCGACACTAATTCGATATCCAAAATATTAACTCAATTTTTCCCAAGTTTATCATAAACTTTTGAAATCGTTAGAAATTGTTATGTTTTTTGAATTATTTTATTTTAAGTTATATAGTTAAAAAATATTCTAGTCATCTCATGCTTGATTTCTTCGTCCATATAGCTATATTTTCTATTGTTTTGGTCATGAAATGTTTAATGTTTTTAGTCAAAGGTTTTACTTCAGTCAACTTATTTGACTCACTTAATTTGACCTTGGATTTGAGCCATATATTTATATTAAAAGTGGTACATTCATAGAACTTATTTTGCACGTGTTGATTTCATTCCTTAAATTCTTAGTCCCGCACATGAATAACACCCTTCTCTCTCGCATAAAATATTCTCAGTTCTATCATTGAATTGAGTTATAGTTACATAAAATGGATGTAATCTTTGAAGTGCAAAGAGGAACACAATTCTCAATTGAAGTGGGTTTTTTCGACACTGTTTTTGAAATCAAAGAAAAAGTTCAAAAGTACCATGGAATTCAAATCTCCAAACAAACCCTAATTTTCAATGGCCAGATTCTTCAAGACGATGGCGACATTTGGAAGTACGAGATTTTTCAAAACTCTCGCATTCATCTTATGGTTACCGCCGCAGATTTTGATAATTCAAAACTACCAATAGATCATGATAACAAATTTCACCTCAACGTCAAAAATCCTTCTTTCATATCACACATTCCTAAGAAAATGGATAAAAACAATACCCCTTTAAAGCTAAAAGAAAAAATTCATGATATTGATCAAAACAATGTCCCATTGAGCAAAGTCATGTTGCATGCAGCTGAAACCAAATTGCATGATAATCAGTTCTATTGTGATTGTGGTGTTTTAGAGAAGAGTGAAATTGAGTATATTTTTAAGCCACGTGAATTGACAACACCTGCAATGGTTGGTGGAAGAGGCAAAGGAGGAAGAGCATGGAAGAAGTTGAAGCATATGGTTTTGCCTAAAAATTGAGTATATATATAAGTAAAGAATTTCATGCTTTTAAAAATTCTTTTTCTACGTGGTATAATTCTATACATGATTTAAAATTCAAAAAGAATTATAGAGTCTTTTCATATAGATGATTCACATGCCTAGAGCATTTTGTCTTGTATGCCAAGCGCACAACCCATAAAATATTTCCAGCATAAAAAAGGAAATAGCCTCATCCATCACATCATTTTGACTTGTTAGAATTGTTTTAGGCTTTTTTCTATCCATTGTCTTAAGAAAAGTTTCAAATAACCAATAAAAAGAAGGGGTTGTTTCATCAAGTGATAAAGCTTTCCCAAAATAACTGTTTATCTATGATTATTACGTCTAACAAAAATTCCTAATGATTAATATTCTTTATTTGTCTCGTATGGATTGTAAAAAGTGATGACGTCTCCAAATTACTCATAATCATTTATTATTTGAGCAACCTTCAAAAATATATTTGTAGTTTTCTGTTCACCATCCATTTGAAATTCATAGAAGGATGATGGATTTTCAATTTCTTGTTTAAAATACACCATCAATGAAATATATTCCTGCAAATATTTTGGTCTTAATCTAGATGCATCTCCCAATATTATTTGTAATGCTTATACCTCATATATGCACCGACGGGATCGAATGATATGAACATAAGTATTGGACTTTTTAAAAATATTTCATGTTTTGAAAGTATTTAATGTGTTTGAAAAGATGTTTGTTTTTTGAAGATGGATTTTGAGCAAACAACTAAGAACGTTCTACATACTCAAAATTCTTTTGTTCATATCTTCCTTTATTTGATATTGTTATCTTACTATTGATTGGTAAGAAGCTTTATCTTTGGATGTAAATGGACATGTGTGGGTCATTGTATAGTCATAAATAGCAATATTGTGAAATATCTTAGTATTTCTCTTGAGGGACTAAAATCATTTATAAGGAAACATTCGTAGCGTCATCGTGGGGCTATGATATTGTATTTTTGATTGTTTTTGCTAAGATGTCTCACATGCATATCATGAACATTTTCTCAAGGCAATAAGTGGAGTGAACCCTAGAGGTGTAAGTATGCAAGTGTTTATTTTTTCATGCTTGATTTTGTCTTGGATTGAGGTTTTCTAAGCATTGATTTTATCTTTCCATATAAACCCCAATTACTAGCATTTATATGAAAAATGACAAATTGCGGAAAATAAATGTCCTACGCTATTACATCATTTTGGGAATGAGATGTACAAATTTACAAATGGGGATTTCAAGAAATTAAACCTAATGATCTATTACAACCATATTGAAACTTGAATAATGTACGAGAATTGAAAGGAATATAACGTACAAGACATGAATGAAAAGAAAATGAATTTGTTTTGATTTTTTTAAAGAAAGATTTTGACCTATTTAACTAAAAGGAAGTTTAATTAAACAAAAGAAAAATTAAGATTAAGTTAAAGAAAAGAAAATAAACAGGAAAATCTTTTTGGTCTTTTTCATTGTAAGAAGTTAAATGAAAATAAACTAAATAATTTTAATATATTTTTGGTGTTTTTGATTAATAAAAATAATAATAATAATAAAAATAATAAAGTAAAGAAAATGAGATAAAGATATAACATTAACTTCAGGGGGTTTCAGAAAATAGAAATGTCAAGGCCCAGCCAATGGAGGCCCAGACGTGCTTCCTGCAAACAAAAAAAAGTGAGAAAATTTAGAAAAATGACAAAAGGTCTTGCTGGGGCTCAAACTCAGGACCTTCTACATGACAAGGCTTTAGTGTGTGCTGTTTGTACCACTGGGGTGGTCTGTTTCATTCGTTCATAAGATAACTTCAATTAAATATAAAATGAACTCGTTTCTGAATGTTTGAAATGCCCAGCTTCTTCTTCCTTGCGCGCGCAGGCCATGATAACTTCATTGTCAAGCTTTTAAAAGCTTCATTTCTCAGCCAAATTAAAAAATGTAAACGTCAAACCCGCCTAAAATTTGAATACGAGTCTAACCACATAATTTTCAAAAGTTATGGATCAAAGGTTAGCATGAATTTTGTTCAGTACCAAAACTAAAACCTAACTGATCAGATGTGAAATTCTCAATGTATAAGCAAAGATAATTAAAACTATGGACATGGTCAGCTTCCTAGACATGATATATACATCTTTTCTTCATAATGTATATACAAATGATGCTTGAATAAAGAGTTCCAAGTTTGAAAAACTTACCTCTTGGAGTAAAACTCGAATGACTTCTACACGACTTCTAAAAATGTTTTGATGATGGATTAAGCTTGCCTGGACTTCACTGAAGTTATTCCAATTGTTAGAATATCTTGTAACTTGCCCAAATGTTCTGGACAAGTCAAGCTGCAATGGTGGATTTTGAAAATGGTGGATGAGGAATGAGGAGTTACAGAAGTGGTTTAAGGGTTGGGATAGTTTCTATGTGGTGTATGGAAGTTTAGTGAATCGAAAGGCCAAAAAACGCACAAAGGGGTTTGAGATTTTGTGTGTAAAGTTAGAATGTGCCAAGTTTTGTGCTTGTGTGCAGATTCCGAGTTTTTGAGAGTTTTGGGAGTGTTCTAATGCTGGTAATCTCCTTTCCTTATGTTGCAAATAATGTCTCTATTTATAGGGAAGAGGTTTGACATCTTGTAGTAACCAGAATCTTGAGATAACATGTTATGGTTTAGTTGAAAATGAAAAAACCAAGTTGAATGGATTTTCATGGTTCCAAAGTTCAAGTACAAGCATGGCCTGATGTTTGTTAGGTGCAAGAGACTTGATTCATGCTTTTGATATTGCTTGCAATCAGAGATAAAGGTCACAAGGCTCAATGCATTGACAATTTGAATAAAGCTTGCTTTTCTAAAATGGCAATGGTAACTTTGTGCCATTAAGGGTAAATTGGCTTGTACAATACTTTAAATACTTGGGTAAGAGCTTAATTCATTGTGTAAACAATTAATTATGGAGTGAAACACAAGTATTGAGGACTACAAAGCAAGATCATGTAGCATGGCCTATGGATTTGATCAATGTTATTCAAAACTTTGTCTTCCACTTGATTCCTTCTACAAAGATCTTGAATCTCTGTAGAACTTTGATCTTTTTATTACTCTGGTTTTCGACAAGCATCTTTAATCTCTTAAAGATGTCGAATACTCCGTCCTTTCGTTTTGATCACATAGATCCACAACTTTTGACTAAACTCATCAACAAACAAAACAATATTTGTTTCCACCAATTGTATGTTTTTTGAATGGACCACATTCATCTGAATGTACCACCTTGAGTATGCAAGATGATCTCATTGGCATAGTCGAAATGAAAGAATTTATGGATTGCTTTCCTACTAAACAAACTTCATAAATTTTTTTCAGGCATCTCAAGACTTGGAATACCAGTAATCATATCTTGAGTAATTAGTTGATTAAGTGGTCGAAAGTTCAAATGTCCAAACTTCAAATGCCATAACCAATTATCCTTGTGGTCGAACAATTTTCAAACATTGAACTTCTGTCGAATTGATCATTGTCTTAACTGTCCTGTTTTTCGACAACAGAGATTTTAAGACTAAATTGTTCTTGGTGTCGAACAATCTCAAAACTCCATCTTTCATAACAACTGAAAAACTCTTTTTGACTAGTTGTCCAACACTTAGCAAGTTGCACTTTATTCCAGGTACATAGAGCACATCTTTAATCATAACTTTTCCTGCATTACTAATTTGAAAGACTATGTCGCCAGTACCTTCTTCTTGCAATGAACTATTATCAACAAGTATTTTTGTTAAATTGTAATTCATAGTGTCGAAACTATGTGTGTCAAAGGGTTTAGAGGTGGATCGAAGTAGGTTGATCAAAGAAAGCCATTGCACAGTCAAAGCTTGTGGATCCAAGTAAGCATGTAGATAGACAACATGTAAACTATCAATCTGGTGAAGAACCCAATAGTACATGGTCGAAGCAAGCACATCGAAATGAGGTTCCATTATTTCCGAGAGCAGGTAGCAGATGGGAAGATAAATTTGGAACACTACAGAACTGAGAATCAGATTGCAGACATCATGACGAGAGAAGTGCATGTCGAAGTATTCAGAAGACTAAGAACCATAATGAATATAGATTGTTTAGACACAATAAATTAGGTGGTGTCTTAAATTGTAATTCATAGTGTCGAAATTATGCGTGTCGAGGGGTTTAAAGGTGGATCGAAGCAGGTTGCTCGAAGGAAGCCAATGTCCAGTCGAAGCTTAGGGATCAAAGCAAGCTTGCTCTTCTTCGACTTGTCAAAAATCTTCCAACACTCCTTTCGATCAGTCATGTGGTTCGAACAACCTGAACCAGATTTTTGAATTCGACATGGTTATCTGCAACTGCACAACTTTTTTTTATCTGCTCTTCCCTTTCGACAGTTTCCTCTTCCTCCTTTCGAGGATTCAGAAGTTCCATCTTTGACCTGATGCTTGAGAGCCCAATATGATCCATGGAAACTATATGGGGCATTAAAAGTCCAATTATACTTGTGCAAACTCAAACCCTAGTTTTGAGTCATCAGTGTTTGAGGAGGTGTCTTGAGCTGATCAAACCTTGTGCAGTCTTGAATCAATGGAGATCTTGTGAGAAAATTCTTGAGAAATGAGAGGGAAAATTTTATGGTATAACAGCTGCCCCTGTTCAATCTTCTTGAACCTGAAGAGTGAGATTGGCGGATCCGCCTTTCGGGACTTGAAGGTGGAAGATGATTGAACACTTTAAGTTCCCAGAAATTTGCACTCGCTGATGTATGAGGTGAACTGTTTGTTGATTATCGGGAATGGGCTTAGAGATGCCATTTGGAGAAATGATGAATATTTTTTTCTTATCGATCAAGACACATCTTTCTCGCGTGACCTTCCTTCTTACAATGATAACAACTAATTATCAAAGTATCACCACCATAAGATTTCTGCTAACCTTTTTTTTCAAACTTACCATCTTTCTTCGAGAATTTCCCCTTAAT